CACACCGATTTGAATTGTTGTTTACTTATTTCTCACTCTGTCTGCAACATGATTATTGCTACGTATATTTCGATTAAACACATTAAATCATTGACAAGAGATAATAATTTGTATAAAAGTATGTTTTTAAATGAATTTTAATCTCTACTTTATAATTAATTATTTTAATTTTTATAGAAAAAATAACATTTTATATAACTTTTACATGATCCGACAGTGAAATGTACGTCTGGCTTTTTCCCCGCGCATGCGCACTAGAGACCGCGTGGAAAAATCCGGCTATCTGGGGGCAGGGGCGAAATCCGAGATTTCGGGATTCGGTACGCGAGTCTATGCAAATGCGCCTACTAGTCTTGTACTTCTGCTGCGCAGTCGGTGTCAGCGCTAGACGGCCTCAACTTACATCGGACAATTGCCCGCCAGCGAGGTTAAAGGTCGCGCGATAAATCGAGGAACCCTCCCTACCTTTCGAAAGGCGCGAAACCGTCGAAATTCATCCAGCGCATCGAAACACTTTGCTGCCAAAACACTCGCTCCATGTAATGCTCACACTCCGGTACGATCACTGGTGACCGCGCAAGCGCAGAACGCATAGATAGAGAGACTTCCGGCGTCTCGCGCATTTGCGGAAGTCGTCGGCGAAACGTGCGAAAGAACCGGAAGGCGGCGACAGAAAAAAAAGGAAAATTTATAAAAAAAAAAACGATTATCCCAGTCGCCCGTTAAAAAAATAAAGAATAAAAACTCATCGACGACGGAGAATCGCATCCTTCTCTGCAAGAGGCCGCTGACGGCCCGGGGAAACCTCAACAGGCGGCGGTCTGTCGCCTGCCTCCCAATGACGGCCGTTCCACCTTCTCTCGCCACTTCGACGCCATTCTCCTTGTCCGAGCTGGAAAAAACGACCCACTCAGACACACCGGACCTTCGCTTGGACGAACAAATTTACGATTTCCAACAAAAGTGCCCAAAAACCGCCTCGCACACGTCATCGTCCGGAGCCTGCTCGAATTTGCACTCTTCTCACGAAATTTACGTATAATAGTAGTATGAATAGTGTTATGAAAGAAATTGCTAGTCGAAAGGAATGAAGAATGGTTTTAAGAAGAGCCTCCAATTTGTATAAGATCTTGAGAAATGATAAGGATAGTATCAAAGAGAAAGCAGGGATGTATAAGATTCCTTATGAAAACTTACAACTGGGTGTTAAAAAAGATTACATCGGCGTCACCACCAGAAACTTGGGAGTAAGGTTCAAAGAACATAGATATGCCATAAGAAAAGCGTCTAATTCAACGATTTTGTCCCAAATGGCGCAGGCCCAAGGCTCTCAGGTGAAATGGGACGAGGCAACAATCATCAAACCACTGTCTTCCCCAACTGTAGCAACGACGGCGGAGAAGATTGAAATATATACTCGTAGAAGTAGGCTAGGAGAAGGCTGTTTAAATGCGAGGGATGCCGAGAGCCTGCCTTCAGCGTGAAAGTTCGTGGTTAAGAAATTTACTGGAAACTTGGACCACAATTAATACATTGGAAGATTTATGTTATTTTTTTTGTTTTTTTTAATTTTATATAGGCCTATACTTCCGTTATTTTTTTCTTGTAAAATTCCGTTATTTTTTTCTTGTAACAGATATGGACAGACATATTTACTACTAATGTTATATAAAGGGAGATAAGGGTGACGTTAGTTTATGGATGTGTGTGGGGGCAAGGTTTTTCTTAATCCGATTTCTAGCTTAATAACTCGTGTGCTTTTTGTCGAAAATATATAAAAGTTTGCGGTAAGGTTTCTGTATTACGGGCATTCATGCTCCTAACTTTTAAGTCCCATAATTAAAAAATTTTTAATTTACATTTAATTTTTTTTTATTTACTTATCTGTGAACAAACATCTCTTCTGATGATATAATAAGAAGAAGAAAAATTTTTTATCAAAAAATGAAAATTCGGGCTATAAAGGGTTAAGACAGTGGTTTCCAAATTGGGTGTTACTGCTCCTCATGGGCAGTGAATAAATCTAAAGAGGTGAAAAGAAGGAAGGGGGTGACAGGAACACTGGAGGCAGAACTGAACAGTGACTCCAGTTTGCTAGATTTTTTAAAAAAAATTCTATATTATAAACAGTTGTGTCGGGGGAATGGGGGGGGAGTTTGTAAAACGCTGGTCATGTGAAGTATTTTTCTGTTATAAGAGAGACAAAACTTTCACACTTTGTTTCTAGCAGTTTTAATCCATAAGAACAAACATTTTCAGCCATTTTGAATGGCCTTCTTCAGATACAATAAGGTTGGTTGGAACATTGGTTAGCAAATATTGAAATGACGTCATTGTTTTTCTTACTAGTGATATCATTGTTGATTACAAAGGTTTGTCTCTCTTATTTTAAGTAGTTATAGCTTTGTGTGCATGGAAATATTTTTCTCTTGTTGAATATTTTGCTTTTCAAATATAAATATAATATAATGTATGTTCCAGAGATCATCTAGCAAGTAGTGAAATAATCAGGCCATATATCAGTAAAAAGTATGTTTGTGAGGTGTAAATTTAACGCAACGAATAAGTTTGCATTAATACTCCTATTAGGAAATGAATATGAACTGTATTTTCTCAACTTTGTTGTAATGTTGATTTACTTAGATTTATAAATAACAACTTAGTCGATACCAGGTTAAAATACCTGGTAGTACACAGTATTATAAACATAATAACAACTCTATACTTTCAAATTCTTTACTAATGTGCTTCTAATAATTTTGTACTATCAGGATTTTTCTATTTACATATTAACGACATCATTTGTTTCGGCGAAAATTAAGATACTGCTAGATTATGGTCGTTTATATATAGACCTATATATGTGATTAAGAAGACAAAGAACTAATAAATCAAAACTTTTTGTTGTTCTTTGATCAAATTCGTTTGTGCGTTTTAATACAGAAATAAAAACGGCATTATAATATGGCAACAACAATCGTAGACTGTAGCAGGGTTGCTGGATATACTCGGCAATTAAAACTTAGACTAGATCGCTCCAGTTGTAACGCAATCGTTGCTAGAACTGCATGTCAGTTTTATTTGCACTCTGCAAGCAGTTTTCGAGTGTCGTTTTAAATAAAGCGAAATAAATGCAATCTACGATTCATTTTGACTCTTGAGGTATGTATTTTTATTTATTATATTATATTCTTCACAATATGTCTTGTGTTCAGCATAGCCCCACTGACTTAATATATTTTTGTGAAAGAAGTAGCTTTTCACGATTTATGCTATATTTCGGGTCCTGACTCGTCATTACATTTTTGTGGTGTATTCCTCTTTCTGTCGAGTATAAACCTATAAAATTAACTTCGACATCTTGCCTGCTGAGAGAAGATATATATATATATATATATATATATACTCAGCAATTATAGAGGAAGGAGCATTATATATA